GTCCTTACAGAATATGAAGGAAGAATAATTATATAAAAGTAGAAATAAGTATTTACATATTTTTACAAAGAAATTTAGAAACCTAATCATATACAGAATTGTAAGTCCTTATATTAGGGAGACAATATGATATTTACAGATGTGGGTCTGGTTTATTTCACTAATAAGTATATCTTCAAGGGGCATCCACTTAAATATGAGGGCTTCAAGTTTATCATTCTCTACCTTTTTTTAAAAAAAAAAAAACACCAAACAACAAAACGGTCCTTCATTTATATCCTCCCCCTTTCTGTTTTGTCAGAGATGGGTGTTTCCCGACTAGGTTGGGAGAACCAGGTGTGCGTCATTTGGCTACCAACTTGCACCTGTGAGGGAGTGCAGTCACCAGTCTCTTTTTTTTAGATTTTTTTTTTAATTTTATTTGTGTGTGTGTGTGTGTGTGTGTGTGTGTGTGTGTGTGTGTGTGTGTGTGTGTGGCCAGCTCAGCCCACCAGGGGGCGGAGCCGACTGGCATGTGGTGCTGGGGGATTGAACCGCGGTCCCTGTGCTTTAGCTAAGCTTGTTCTAAGTAGGTGCTTTAGACCTCTGAGCCATCTCACCAGCCCAGTCACCAGTCTCTTAAATCAACTGCATCTAAGTCAGCTTCCCGGCAAGACGGTGCGCAGGTCTTACGGCTTACATCTATGTGTCCCTCAGGTGCCTTATGTGCTGGTAGGTGGAGCTTTGGAAGGTGATTTGGCTGTGGGGTCTTATAACTGCCTGGGAGTTAGGCGGGAGGTCTGGCTGGAAGAGGCGGGGCACTGTGGGTGACACCTGGCACCTTCGCGGCTCCTTCCTTGATCTGTTTCCTATCTGCCGGCCCACAAGCTGCTCTCCTTTCACTGGACCCCTCAGCCGTGCTGTCCTGCCTTGGAGCCAGGGCTCTGGATTAAAATGTGAGCTAAAAAACTCTCTCCCTTCAATTGTGTGTTATTTTGTCCCAGTAAAGAGGGAAGTAACTGAGCTATTAGGGACAATGATGTGGCCATCTTCTGATCACAGAGCTCATCTGAGGGGAGACCATCACCTCACATCTCTACCAGCTGGCTTCCGTCATGCAGTAAACCCCCAGGCTCCAGTGCCTGCCTTGGGTAATCGCTGACTCTGTGCCCCTTCCTGTACTAGGGGTACTGGCGGAGAGGGGATCATTCCAGGCCCTGGGGCCTGTTCTGGTTCCGGGAAGGTGGGCTGCTGAACGGACTACAACTGGCTGGGGAATTGTTCGAGAGATCACATGAAATCATGCCACTAGAATGTGCTTAAGAGCTGTTATTTTTGGTGTCTCAAATTGCTTATACAGATAGGGACCCTAAAGCGCCACCATTTCCCTCTTTCCTAAGGATGGCCCTGGCCATAACTCTTAACAGCATTCATAAGGATGCTAAGTATCTGGTCTGTCCGCCTGGCTTTTCGCCCTTCCTCCCTTTCTCCTTCCCTCCCTTTCACCCATCAGACCCAGAGATCTTGCCAGGTGCTGTGGATGTCGTAGGAAGTCAGCCTCTGCCTTGTTTTCTCAGGCAATGAAAAAAAAAAAAAAGTTAAAGGCTATAACCATAAAAGCAAGCAGAGAGTAATGTAAAGTCATCGGGCTCTAGTCCATATGCAGGGAAGTCAGAAAACCTTACTCTGGGCGGCGGGGAGATGGCTCACTAGAATAAGCGCTTTCCTGACAAGTGTAAGGGCCTGAGTTCAATCTCCGGTTCCACCAAAAAAAAAAAAAAGAAAGAAAACAAAACCTTACTCTGTAAGCAAACTACATCTGAATGGAAACTCAAATAAGTCAGCCCTGCAAAACTGTGCACCATTTTGGCCCAGAAACAGCCCCGCAAAGGCCTGTGGGTGCTTCCTGCTAGCCACTCATCCGCTCACTCATGTACTCAAGCAGCAGAACCTTGGTGCACGGAGCATCTGGGTCAGGCTTGCAAAGATCAGCAGCTGCCGCTGCCGGCGCAAGCACTCTGCGGTCCCCAGACACGGAGTGTGACTATTCCTGTACTCCAGTGGGAAGCCACTTCAAGGGCCTTGGCGGGGTGGCCATTTGACAGAGCCTGCAGATTCAGGCAGCACGGATCGGGGAAGGGCTGGCTGTAGAAACACAGAGCCCAGGGGAGCGTGGGCAAGGGTGTCTGAGCTCGGGGCAGCAGCAGTGGAGGTGGCAGATTCCTGATGGGCAGTGGAGGTGCAATGGATCGGGGGCTGACTGTATCACACCGGGGAGAGGGGGAGACAGGAGTGACTTCGAGATTGCAAACTCAAAGACATCACTGGCAGAGAAGAGGCAACCTAGGTGTGGACAAGGGACTCTGACAGGCTTGGGGCAATCAGGAAACCGGAGGCCAGCGCTATCCTTAAGCTTTTTGAGAGTTCAGATTCCTTGGGGCAATTGCAAGCCATCATTCCGGCAGCTGGAGTTCTAGATTAGTGGCATATATCTGTAATCCCAGGACTTGGGAGGCTCAGGCAGGCTGGTTGCTGCAGGTTTGAGGCCAGCCTGGGCCACTTACAGAGCAAGACTGTCTCAAATAAGCCAGACAGCCTGGAAGACTTCTAGTTTATGAATGCAGAGAAAAAACCACTGCTGATATTTTGGGTTCATTTACACATTTTAATGCTTCTGTAATAAATTTCCTTTTTTCTTTTACAAAACTGAGAAAATATATATTTCTAAATACTTCAGTTGAAATATTATCTTTTCATGTTAGTCAGCTCTTTATTGACACAACTACATGGCCGAGACAACTTAGCGGAACAAAGATCTCGGCTCACACTCAGGCGTCAGCCCGCGGTCGTGGCCCACGGTGGCCGGTGGCACTTCCCTGTGGAAGCCAGGATGCGGAGCGAGGGCCTGAGAAGCCACACCCTCCGCGGGCACACCTCAGCGAGGGCACCAACTCTGCCCCACCCCAGTAACTCACCCGTAAGAACTCATCACCGGGCGGCCGATGAGATCGCAGCCCTCACAGCTCAGCCCTCAGCCCAGTCACCTAATCACTCATCTCAACAGTCAGGAGTAGCCTTTACATGTCAACCAAGCCATCATAACTACTGTATTAATGTTCAAAACTATCATTACACATTTCTTATAAAAGGACATTTTCTCAGTACTATAAACATCCCACTTATATGTACGTTACCATTCCTTTACAGCAAATTCCTAGCATCTAGCATGTGCACTGTCAGGCTCTGATGTACCGTCACGCACGTCCTCTGAAGGGACATCAGAGTTCCTTTAGCACAGAGACAGCCACCTGAGGGGCAGGAGCTCTACAGGAGAAACGCTCAGTAAGAAGACAGTATTTACTGAACGTCTACTGTCTGTGGGACACTGTGACAGGCACTCGGGACAGAGGTGAGCGAGCCTCGGACAGTCATGGCCTAATTCACCCTTAGTCCTGTACACGAACGTCCTAATATCACAGCAGGGCTAAGTGGCATCAGAGGGCAGCCAGGTGACAGTGGAGCTGCATCTTGGTACTCATGGTGGTGATGTCGCTGTCTGCGAAGTTTCTCTGTGCTCTCCAACGTGCGTGGCTCAGGAGCCTGGGACCTTATTTCCCACAGTCCCTTGCTGCAGGACTCCACCAGGGGTGGTGTGTGCGAAGTCCTGGAGACTAGAAGGCAGCTGTTGTTGAGCCCCTGGGGACACAGGTGCCCACGCTGGCAGTGGCAGTGAAAGGACACAGGTGGGCAGGGTGCAAGGGCAGCGGCAGCAGCAGCAGAGGACGGGCTGGACTTGCAGAGCCGCCGAAAGGCACACGGTGCTGGCGCGGCTCCCCCCGTGGTGACCTTCCCCTGCAGGCTCCTTTGTCCCACTGCAATTCATACCACAGGCTGGCATAAAGCTTTCCTTTGGGGGGCATCACGTCTCAGATACTGTGCTGCAGTTCTGGAAAGCTGACACACACATATAAATACCATGCCACCGAGAGGACCGGAAACGGTAACCTGGCCTTAACTCTGTTCTTCTACGTCTTCTTCCTCACTGTCATCGTCACAATAAAAGATGTCTCTGAACAGGAACACCTGCTTGGGTGCTGCAGGTGTTGGGATTTTGGTGCCACTTTTTTTCATCTTCTTTTGTAACTTTTCTTTAAACAAAGGTAGACTAGTTTCATAAAGGTAGTCGATGATCTCTACAGAACAGAAATTTAAATCTGAAATTATTTGCAGTCTCATCCATGTGAACGCATACAGGATCCTGATAACACCATGTGCAAGACCTAACGCTCTGCTTACATCCTTCTTTGTTTAGGTACTTAGTGCAGGGTCCACAGGGTCTCACTACACAGATCACACTTGCAGTGAACTTTCCTGTTTTTCAGCCTCCTAGGTGCTGGGATTAAAGGCGCGCACCACCGTGCCCAGTCTCAATGTCAGGCTAAGTGTGCCCCAGGGGTGGGGCCAGCACGGCACGCTGGAGCTCCTGGCCGATGCACGCTGCCTAAGTAGGCGTTTTAACTTGCTGAGCTATCTGGCTGGCCCCTCCTTTTTTTTTTTTCTTTTTGTCTCAGCCTCCAAATGCTGGGATTACAGGTGTGTGCTATCACGCCCAGCTGGTTTGCTTATATTCTTATCCAATCTTCAAAAACATATCCTACAAATAGGCACTATTTTTAGCCCAGCTTTCCAACAAGTGAGGCACAAAGGCATTAAGAGGTGTGCCCTCGGCCATGGAGTTGGCCAGCGTGCACACTGAGGCAGTCGTGTCTGCTACAGGCAAGGAGTGCCTCATCACACACTTTGTACGGCAATACTGCTTAGGCAGACCTCGAGAGACTTGCAGTGAGCTTTGTTTTTGAGACAAGGTCGTGCTATATGGCTCAGGTTGGCCTTGAACTCACTATGGAACCCACATTGGCTTTAAACTTGTAGTGATCCTCCTGCCTCTGCCTCCCAAGGGCTGGGACTGCAGATGTGCACCACCATGCTCGGCACTCTGGGCTTGTTAAAGTGCAACTCGGACCCTGGGCTTTGCCTGGAGACTAGGGTTTGGTAGGTTTGGGATGAGACTCAGGACTAGATTTCTAAAAGCTTTCCATAATGCTCCAAGGGCCCGAGTGTAGGACTTACGCACATACAAAGCACCCACAAACGGACAGAAGAACTGGGCCGCTGACACATCTTACAACAGTGCGCTTGGCATACTGTGCGCACAGCAGCGGCTGACTGAGGGGTCACTGAGTGCCCAGCACTGAGATGACATCTTCCACTCTGTTACCTCAGTTAGGCCTTTGGAAAAGCCTACCAGGCAGGGACTGGAATTTGCCATTCTGAGTAATTAAGCTCAGATTCTAGAAAGTCATAGCTGACGTGCCTCGGACAACCAGCACGTGGCACTGAGCCCTGTGTTCTCAACTACACAACTATTTACAATACCCACCTGGGAAAGTCTTTTTCTGCCAAAAGGGAACGCAGGCAGCTTTCAACTTATAAAATTTAGTTTGAACGTAAGATGGAGGTACATCACTTAGAAAGAAAAAGGTACAAAAAAAAGCGTCAGTAAAAGTTCATCGCTCTGTGATCCTCATAACTCATCCTTACAACTTGTCCTCTCTCACTACTCGCGCAGTAAGTGCATGTTAAGGTGAGGTCCGACGGCATATTTAGCTTCCATGTCCTGGGTGGGAAGTCATCACATCCATAGATGTGATAAAAATAAAATACAAGATACCGAAGACAAACTACTGCTTATATGGTTTAAAAACACACAAAGACAAGTTAGAGATGCAGCCCAGACACACGTGCGACGAGCGTTTAGTACGCAGGAAGACTTGGGCTGAATCCCCACCACCAAAACCAATACATTAAAAATACCGAAGAAAATCAGCAGTACATGGTGAGTTCTGTTTAAACACAAATGACTTAAGTTACTAGTCACAGAGACAAAGCTCAGGGCAGCTATACCTGCTGCTGTGTGCCCCGCGAACAGCTCTGCCCCCAAGTCGTCATGAGCAGTCCCAACTGCTGTGGTCTGGAGGGAGCGGCTCCCTCCCCAACTAAACGTTAGGAACAGGCGTGCAGAGCTGGCTACCCTCGTACACACACCTGACGCTCACAGCTCAAAGGCAGATGTTCATGGATTTTGCGAACCAAGAAAAAAAAACGCCTCTGATGTTTATTTTTCTTTTTCTTTATTGTAAATTATCTTTACTTTTATAGTTACCTTAAACACATGAACTACTCCCATGATTTGTTTGCAACCCAAATGTTTGTGAAGGACTATGCATTGTGATGTTTAAGAATATTTTCAAATTAATAATCGGAGTATCAGAAACAAGCAAATCGGTTTTTTTTTTTTTTTTTTTGAGATTGTCTCCTTACGTAGTTCAGGATGGCTTGAATTCACTATGTAGCCCAGGCCAGCCTTGGACTTGCAACGGTCCTCAGCCTCAACATCCTGTTGGGATGACTGGTGCGCACTACCACATTTGGCTGGTCAATCAAGTCTATTTTTTTAAAGTAAAAAATTACTAATTTACCTGTAAACTTTTTTCTGAATAAAAACTTGACTTTTCCTCTCAAGAATTAACTGGTGTAGTTGTTATAACGATCAGTGGGGTGGGGGGCAGGGAGATGGCTCAGTGGAATAAGCGCTTCCCTGACAAGCGCAAGGGCCTGAGTTCAATCCCCGGTTGGGGGGGGGGGGATCAGTGGGGATAATCTGCTCCGCTGTGTAGTTAAAGATGACCAGACTCTCCTAACCCCATCAGAGCGCCCGCTGATGACACACTGTGCGCCAGCCCCAGACCAGCGCCTCGCATGCCTGTCTCCTGCAGTCCTTGCAATGTCCGCAAACAGAACGTGCAGCCGAGGACACCAAGGCTGGGAGGCACTGGGGGAGTCCTGGGGCGGGGCTGCTCTGCCCGACTCAGCGAGCGCTCCACCGGCAGGGCCTAGGTTGTGGGAAAGCACTGCAACTGAGCTGAACTTCCACAGCTCCGCAGGCGACGAGCTCGCTGCTGGGGTGCGGCTCTTAAATCCCGCCCGAGCAACTCACAAAGGACACTTTAAGGCGGAAGAGAATAGACATCCAGCTGCACCCCTGCCGGTTTCAGGTTGCTGTCCAAAGTGGGAGCACACTGCGCTTCACACCGTACCTGACTGGATGCTGTGGTCTCTACGGCACAGCTCTGCAGCAATTTCTATGCTGTAGCTACAATAAGCAGACTCGATATTTATTTATTTATTTATTTATTTGGTGGTGGTACTGGGGATTGAACCCAGGGCCTCATGTTAGACCACAGAGCTATGTCCCAGAGCCCCAGTTTTAAATATCTCAAAAATCATTAGAGGGGGGCCGGGGAGATGGCTCAGTGGAATAAACACTTCTCTGGTAAGCATAAGGGCCTGAGTTCAATCCCCGGTTCCGCAAAAAAAAAAAAAAAAAAAAAAAAAAAAAAATCATTAGAGGGGCTGGCCAGATAGCTCAGTGGACTGAAGCAACTGCTTCGGCAGTGTGCAGTGGCCAGGGTTCAATCCCCAGCCAGCTGTGCTTGCCCCAGTCCCCCCAGGGTACACTGAGACAGTGATTAAGACTGGGGGTGGTGGTGTGCACCTGTAATCCCAGCACTTAGGAGGCTGAAAACAGGAGACTCACTATGAGTCCAACCTACATAGTGAGATCCTGTACATCCTGTCCTAAATTCATGAAGGAAAAAAAAAAAGTCATTATAAACTCATTCAATAATAAAAACAAAAAAAATCACGTGATCCAATGCAATGTCACAAGGTATACAAAAACCTAGTGGACAGCCAGCCAAATAGCTCAGTGCATTAAAGTGTCTGCAAACAGGTGCAGGGGCATGCCGCACTGAGATGGTAACTGAGACAGGGCGTGGTGGCGTGCGTCTGTAATCCCAGCACTTGGGGGGCTGTAAACAGCAGAATCACTAAGAGTCTGATCTAGTAGTGAGGCCCTGAACACCCTGTGGACCCTTCCCTAAAAATACAAAAAAAAA